GGGGTTTTGTGACCCCAGCCAAGGGTCAGTGTGGTCTGTCCTTCTGTCAGGCTCACAGCACGGTACGGAAGTTCTCGGCAGTGTGGCTGTCGCTTTGGAGGGTTTATGTTGCTCGCGGATCGATGATCTGGCTCCATTCAGACTGCGCCCCAGTGGTTCATTGCTTAAACCAAGAGGGTTCAATGCGGTCCTTGGCTCTTTGGGGCTGGTCGCTTCAGGTGATTCATCTGCTGAATTCTCGGGGTTTGGCTCTCCTGTCGGTTCACATCCAAGAGGGTGTCCAACGTCCTAGCGGACGGCCTGTCTTGGTTCATTCCCCTTTCCACAGAATGGAAAGTCGACGCCAACTCGTTCAGTTGACTCTGCCAAACGTACAGGCAGCCGGAGGTGGACCTTTTCGCGTCGGCGTGGTCGAGGTGTCTCCCGGTATATGTGGCGCCCTTCCCTGACTGCGAGTCAGTCGGGGGTCGATGCCTTTCAGCAGGACTGGTCGAGGTGGGGTTACCTATACCTCTTCCCGCTGGTTATGGTGTTGCTTCAGGTCCTGGCTCATTTGGATGGGGTAGCAGTTCTGTTGAGTCCCTAGTGGCCGGCCCAGCCTTGGTTTCTGGTACTGCTTGCTCGGTGTCCGAACCCAGGGACTTTTCCGTGGCTCCGCCTCTTCCAGCAGATCGGTCTAGTCCGGTATGTGGCTGGTTCGATCTTCACTTTTGGTCTTTCTGACGCGGGTCTATCTCCACTTGTATGGTGATCAGGTGTCTTCGTTGGTGTCCCACCTGCATGTTTCATCTCTGTGGCAGTATGAAGTTTCCTGGCATTTTTTTTGTAATTTTTTGTCTCTTTGTACGTTTCTTCGGTTTCAAATCAGGTTGTTTGGACCTTTCTCTCTCGGCTGTTTCAGGACCATCATCTTGTGCCGAATATTATCACCTCGTATTGTGCGGTGCTGGTGGAGCCTCTCCTGCTTGCGTTTGGGGGTGGATGTTACTTCCGCTTCGTTTCACAAGCTGTCTCGTAAGTTGTTTCACCTCTGGCCTGCATCTTCTCACTTTTCAGTTTGTGGTGGCCCCTTCAGTTCGGGATTGTTTTGATAAGGCTCTTTTCTTGTTTGCATTGGCCTCTGGGGGGTTGGGTCGGGGAGCTTCATGCTCTCCTCTGATGCACGGGTTTTCGCTCTTTCGGTCCTGGTGGTAGGTTTGTTCGTTTGCAGCCCTTTTCTTCTTTTCTGGTGAAGAATGAGACAGCATCTTTCTGGGAAGGATCACTAGGTGGTTAACCACCGTGCTGCACCTAGTTTATTGTGAAATTCCCCGTGCGCATGAAATAGTGTTCCCCCAAAAAATGTTTCTTCGTAAAATGATAAATTCCCTTCCCTGAACATGTCTATGTAAAAATAAATACCAAATTCCACTTACTTTGGCTGTGGGGACGTGGACAAGGTGCACTTTGACGTCATCAGGGACTGGTCGCCCGTACATGACTCGCCCAGACACGGTCGTGCAGGCCATTCAAGCACAGGTATTGCCACAAATATATTTTCAATTATTTGTTCTATGTATTTCCAATGCGGTTTTATTTGTTTTTTTATCGTATATGATGCATATTTATGTCCTTTACAATATGTATACAGTAGAAGGTTCATAATGTTCCATGGAATTGTGATACATGTCAGTAATGTGTCCACAATGTTTATTGTCGCAATATTACATGTTAAAAATTCACTAAAATTACAATATGTACAGTTTCACACACTATTTACACAGTAACACACTGTATTACACACTCAGTACTTCGGAAGTGAGTAATAATCAACAAAGTAGTCAATGGTGCACAGCGCGACTTCACTCTCGTTGCACCAGGTACAGATAAATTTTCGCTTCCTGTTTCTTCATTCTGTGTGCTTGCAAATAACGCACTCACACCCTTGGCTTTAGTATTTGTGGGTTGTATGTAGACAAGCTTGTAAAGCATAAGGTAGTATTGAAAAGATTATAGGAAAAGATAAATTTGTAAGGTAGTCTTGAAAAGATCGCTTTGTATGGTCCCACACAGGAAGAGATTCAGCTTGCCTGAAAGAGAATCCATCACTCAGAAAGAGATTTAGCTATCCTCAAAGAGTGTCCGTCAGTCAGGAAAAGATTCAGGTATTCTTGAAAATATCAATGGGAAAACACCACCATGGAAGCCGCTAACATTGTTCATCTATAATATTTGTATCAGATGCATCATCACTGAACGCAGAAAACGATTCATCTATGTATCATCTAAATAAATTGGAGATAGCATAGGATTGCAAGGTGATGCTCAGAGCTACAACTGGATATGTTCGCTGTATCGTCCTCATAGGTGTTGCATCACTTGCATCTGACCTTTGTGTTCGATCCTTATTGTGCCTAGCTTCACCAATATTATGACCCTTATGTTCTTCAAACAATAAGGTTTGAATTTCACCGACAGAGCGTTATCTTTCAACACCACGTCAGACAGGTGTTTGGAAGCCAGAGGCGCGTGCGCCACCCATGGTTGCTCGCTCAGTACTAACCCAGCTAGTAGCCCTACGGCATTCTGGGAATTTTTTCCAAGATGACTGCCTCTCACTGGAGGTCCTAAGAGTCCATTTCGTACACAACCAACCTCCCACACATTTAGAATGATACGGAAAAATCTAAAATAGTTTTCTTGGTTGGTGCAGTTTCCCGCCGACCAAGAATACTTGGTTGGCGCAGTTAAGTGGTTACTGCTTGGTTGGTTCGGGCCGGGTGTGCATCATAGGTTGGCCAAATGTGGCTCTTCGCCGTTATTTGCGCGCCACGGCTTCGGTGGCTGGGGACAAGCTTTGGGTTGACCTGGTTTCCCTTCTTCCCTGTCCAAGGCTTGTGTCTCCCAGGTCATCCGCAGGGTTATTCGGTCCAGCCAGCCTGCGGTCTATCCTTGTGCCCATGACGTTCGCAACTCTGCTGCTTTAGCTGCCGTTTTTGGTAATCTGTCTTGGGCTGACATTCGGGCGTGAGGGTTTTGGAGGTTGAACAGAGTCCTGGCCACACGATACCTTGTTAAGGCATTAACCCTTCCACTGCTCAGGGGTCCTGAGAACATTTACGCCCCTGTGCAGAAGAAAAAAAAAAATAAAATAAAAATTTAGTTTTCTAAACATGTTAATTTGTGTTCCCTGAGCAGGGGAAAAATAAAAAAAAATCGTAGGTGACATATTTTGAGCGCAATTGACCGAGGAAGTCTGGCAAAAAGTGGGCGTTGACAGAGCGGTTGTCAGAGCCGGTCAGCGTCACCCGCGCTGACAGATGGGAGTTGCCACAAAGCTATTATCACTTAATTATTTCTATATGTCTGATTGATTTTTTTTTAGTTTTTTTTGCAGTAATATTCTTCAATAGTGTGTATTGTAATACCTGTATATGTATATAATAAAAGTGGTGAATAATCGCTATACTCAAAAGTATAGTGTGCATATTAGTGATTCAATTATTATGTTTATAAAACAATAAACAAATAGTTTTGCTGCTATTACACTCTATACACAGGTTATATATAAGTATCTGCATGTTTTGTTCACCATAACGAACCACTAAGTTGGTATTGAGTCGAAAAGCAACGAGGAGTTACCGCCACACACCAGCAACCACTCAATGCCACTCCCTCAACAATGCTTCACTCGGCCACTTTTTCCTCCCACCATCCTGTTTTATATTTTATTCACAATATGCAGATGTTATATATAAGAAACTACATGTTTTGTTCACCACAAGTGTACAACTAAGCAGATATAGTTAGTTTAGGCACTAAGAGCCGTCGCTATACACACAGTCAGCTAGCGGCTGCCTCACTCACACAAGGCCACACGCACTAAACTTTCTCCCCCAGCAATACCGTTTGTGGTGTTATGACACTATATACAGACGTTATATATAAGTATGTATATGTTTTGTTCATCACAACTGTACAGCTAAGCTGATATAGTTAGTTCAGGCACTGAGAATCGTCACTATACACAGTCAGCTGGCGGCTCCCTCACTCATTCAAGATCACACGCACTAAACTTTCTCCCCTAACAATACTGTTTGCAGTGGTATTACACCATATACACATATTACATATAAGTATCTTCATGTTGTATGCACCGTAACTGTACACCTAAGCTTGTAGAGTGCCCAAAGAGCATAGTGGCCACCCTCTGCACAGCCAGACAAATCATGCAGACAACGTCACCTCCGTCACCCAAATGGCTCCTCCCAGCATAATCCTTTTGCTGTTATTACACTAATACACAAATGTAGATAAGTATCTACATTTGTGTTCACCATAGAGAACCACTGAGCTGGTATGGTGAATGCAGACAATAACAGGTGGCCACACAGTCAGTAAACGATGCTATCTCCCTCCGTCTCTCAGCATCACTTGTCCCACAGCACTAATTATTACAACAATCCTGCTATTATCACAACCCTGGTTATTTATATCACAGTCAGGGGTCATCTGTAATATTGTCATCGCTAAATAATAGCAATTATATATTTATTTTGACATTTTTCGGTGATGCTGTGGTCACAAGGTGAACAGCAATGCTGTTCGCTCATGCTGCGTGCGCCAGCCTTGGTTGCTCCAACAGTACTGTGCCTCTCACACCTGAGAATATTGCCCACGATTTTTTTTTAAATGGCATCTGTTTACAAGAGCCCTGAGGAAGCTAATATGAACCCCGTGTAGCCGCAGGCCATTTGAATCGGGCCTGGCACCCTTGGGCGTATATATATACGCCATGCGCACAGTGGGACATGTTACTCAGGGCGTATATATACGCCATGCGCAGTTTAAGGGTTAAAAAAGCTAGGCAGATTGTGGGTATTGCCTATAATATAGCAAGTTCTCACTAGGAACAGTGTCAAGAATATCAAAGATATGTAAATATACCAACATAATGTGTGTATACAGGGTATTTATGAAACAATTAATGTGATAATAAAAATTATCTTGCTTTTATCCAGTTACCATCAGAAGTACCTTCTTCAACGCCACCCAGTACTTATGAATGCCCTTGACATTGATCCAGGAGACGACTTGATAGATAATCATGTAGCTGCTCGCATCAATGGCTATGTTGGAGGCTATGGGACGGTGCCTCAGTTTGACAAGGAATGGCACCAGTGGGGAATTAACGAGAAGATGGCCGACTACATACGAAAAGCAATTACATCTTCACCACGTGACTTATGCTAAATTATGGAACAGTAGATTTAATTGCTATTGTGGAAATGAGATATTAGATCATAGGAACAGATAAATTTTTAATTCAGAATTTTAATATAATCATATTTATATTAAGATGTATTATTAATCAAAGGATTTACTGTACTTGATTGGTAACTTCTTAAACAACATTGCTTGCTTATCACATTTTAAATTATTAGTTTTCAAATTTGATATAAAATTTACACTTGTTTAACTTGGGAAAACTACTTTAATCATCAAATTATGTAGTCCCAAAATAGTGTTAATTGTTTAAATAACTTATTTTGAGTGTTGCATTGTTTGAAGTGATAATAAAGTTTTTGATGAATTAGTTAACTGCAAAAGTTTGTGATTGTTGAATATTGTGTTGTTGCATACTGTAAATTTGAGTGAATGGTGTAAATGTGTGCTTCTATTCCTACCACAGTTCCAGGCCAAACTGCACACCATAAAATGCAATAGAATTCTTGTGTGTGCTCTTGGTGTCATGCTGAAGAGATGATTCAGTCTTATCATAGATATTATTTTGCCTAATCCTGTACTAGAGAGGAGAAGAGTTGATCAGGAGTTCTTTGCACAAATATGCTACAAGAAAATATGTCCAATAGCAATATGATTTAGAGGATTATGAACAAATTCACAGAGGCCTTGACGAGGGTTCGTACCTATACACTGGATGTTCCCAGATGCGCTCTAGTCAGCTGTATCACAACATGGTACAGTT